TTTTTTTTTTTTTTTTTTTTTTCTCTTTAATGAACAGGAAAGCTGAACTCAGAAATCTGATTCTCTGCTGCTTTATTCCTAGTGCAGTTAGTTCTGGCCCTATTGAGTCAGAATGATAGTATCTGACATCCTTTTCAACAGATAATAAATAACTATGCAAAGTGAAATACAGTCAAGAATAGAAATTGTAAACAGTGTGGTTTTTTGTTGGGTTTTTTTTGTGTGAGGTATTGATGGAGTTGCAAATTTAATCATGCATTGGGAGCTGGTGTGGGGGGTTGATTTTACTTTTATTATGGGGAAAAAAAACCCTAACTCTCCTGAGAGAGTGAATTTCATTGAAAAGAGATCAGGAGTAACTGCTTTGTCCTCATTCGGATAGCTTTGCAAGACAAGGAATTATTGGTGTATTACTATATTTAGAGGTGTTTTTTCCACATGTTTAATTTTTTCTTGTGTTTCCAGAAAGTGAATATCGCTATGCCAGATGGAAGAAAGCAGTGATGAAATCAATGGGATGGGAGACATCTGAACCTCATTCAAATGGTGAGTCAGTACTTTATAACTCACTGACTTGTACAATCTGCATCCTTTAAATCATTCATTGCTCTATACACCCATGAAGAAGTAGCATTTTCCTGTAAGACAAAGATCTGCTTATTTCTAATTTTTAGAAGTCTTCAACATTTGATATAGCTGTGTTTTCTGAGCAAACATGGCATTAAAATATATTTTTTTTAAATGTTGATCCCTGTAACTGGGAAAGTAAAATTGCTAAAACAAGGTAGTTAATGGTGGGGTTAATGACTTAGAGGTATTATTGGACCCTTTCATTTCACTGAAAAATATCACCTAGCTGCAAAAGAGCTCTGGAAATAAGTCAAGCAAAAAGTAATAGTATTTTGCCCTTAATTTTGTTTTATAAGAATTGCCGTGTATTGGGTCAGACCATATAGGTCCATCTTGCCCAGTGTCCTGTATCACACAGTGGCAGAGCGGATGCTGAAATGGAGACTCAATTGGGTATGACCAACATTTTTTTTCCCCACTGTTCCTCTCTCACTTGCAGCCTCCAGCATTTAAGGTCCAGGAAGTTGTAATTCGGAAGCTGTTGCTAACTCCCATGCACTATAGCTATCCCTTTTCTCTGAGAATTTATGCAATCCTTTTTTGAAGCTAGCTAAGCTGTGAGCTTCCACAGCTTCTGGTGGCAATGAGTTCCACACTTCTTTTTCACACAGCGTGTAAATAAACTTCCTTTTGTTAGTTTTAAACGTACTACCTACTTGTTTTACTTTGACCCCTAGTTTTTGTATTGTGAGATTTTGAGTAATTCCTATTTCCTTATTTACTTTCTCTTCACCATTTAGTATTTTGTAAACCCTTATCATGTCCCCCTTCAAGCATCTGTTTTCTAAACTGAATAGACCTAGCTCTTGAGCCTCTCCTTATATGGAAACTCCTCCATACTACTAATCATTCTTGTTACCCTTCTCTGTACTTCTCTAGTTCTTCTATATCCTTTTGAAGTGAGGGGACCAGAACTGGGCACAGTATTCAAGGTGTGGATGCACCATGGATTTATAAAGGGGCATGGTGATACTTTACAATTCCTTTCTTAATAATCCCTAACCTTTTGTTTGCCTTTTTGACGGCTGCTGAGCACTGAGCTGACATTTTTAGCAAATGGTCCACAATGACTCCCAGATTTTTCCTGTGTGGTAACAGCTATTGTAGAGCCCATCATAATTTGGGTAGAGTTTTGGTTATTTTTGCCCAGCTGCATCACTTATCTACATTGAACTGCATCTGCCATTTAGTGGCCCATTCGCTCAGTCTTGCCACATCCTCTGTAGTTCCTCACAGTCTGCCTTGGTCTTTACCACTTTAAATAATTTTGTGTCATCAGCAAATTTTAGTGACCTCATTTTCCAGATCATTTATGAATAGGTTAATTGGCACTGGTCCCAGCAAAGATCCCTGGGGAGATCCCAATGTTTATTTCTTTCCATCCTGAAAAGTGACCATTTATACTTGTCCTTTGCTTTCTACCTTTTGAGCCAATTTCTGATCCAGGAGTGGACGTTCCCTGTAATCCCATGACTACCTAATGTAGTTAAGAGCCTGTCAGAGGTTTTCTGGATGTCCAAAAATACTATGTGAACTGGATTGCCCCAATCCACTTGCTTATTGACACCCTCGAAGAACTGTAGTAGGTTGGTGAGGCATGATTTCCATATGATAAAGCTGTGTTAATTCTTCCCCAGAAAGTTTCTACCAGTTTTCCTGGAACAGAAGTTAGTCTCATTGGCCTGTAATTCCCTGCCACCCCCCCCCCCCCAGCCTTTTTTTTAAATATGAGAGTCACATTGGCAACCCTCCAGTTCTCTGGTACTGAGTGTTTTTAGTGATAGGTTGCATACTGCAGTTAAGAAATCAGCAATTTCCAATCTGAGCTCCTTCAGGACCCTAGAGTGAATACCATCAGGTCCTGGTGATTTGCTACTGTTTTGTTTATTACTTTCTTCTATGACCATTGAAACCTCGGTTTGGGTCACCTAGTTAACAGATATAAGGATGCTGGTAACATAGGTCACATAAATAATGGAAATATCAAGTGAAGACTGCAGCTCCCTCAAATCTGAGTCAGTAAAGAAGTCCACATTAAAAGAAGGTATGCACAATGCAAAGCTGGGAGGTGCAACTCCATGTTACAAAAGAAAAATGTCTTGGGCTGCCATTTTTTCTGCCTAACTAAAGAAAGAGATGAGGATCCCGACCTTTGAAGCTTGTTGATCTGTAGATTGTAGCCTTGCAAAGTTTTCCAGTGTTGGTTAGGCTTTAGCTAGAACATTATGGGCAGTTCTAGACTCCTCAGTTTAAGAAGAATATGGAGAAACTGAACTGGATCCAGAGGCAAGTAACAACAAAGGTGATAAGGAGGTTGGAATGCAAGCTGTATGGGGGGAGTTTGAACAAATAGCAATGTTTAGTTGAAGGAGATGAAGTAGGGGGAAGCATGTTGGCAATTTTCAAGCATTTGAAAAGCTGCCATAAGAGGATGGGCCACAAGTGTAGCAGAACAGAAGTGTAGCAAATCTGCAGCAAAACATATTTATATTAAGAAGTAAATGTTCTGTTAATAGTAGAACAAGCTGCCCAGGAGAGTTCTGGAATCTCTTTTTATAGGAGGATTTCAGGAAGAGGATGGTTAAACCTTTGCCTGGACTAGTACAGGAATAATGCATCCTAATTTTTGTAGGGGGTTGGACAAAATGACCTGAGAGGGCCCTTCCTATATTAGTTCTAACCCAAAAGCTAACAGGTATGATGCAGAAATAACCTGGAATGGGAAGCTACACACAAGAAACAACACGCACATCCCCCTGAAGGACTAAGCAGGTTCTGTTTCATGTTCTGTGGGAATGACAAGTTGAAGTTTGAACAAAAGTTTCCTCCCTTCACAAGTATGCAATTTGGAATATGCTTATATATTAACTTGAAAATAACTTTGCACACCTGGATCAAGGCTTAAAAAACAGGACTGAAGTATTTGAGTTGAGAAAGTAATTGCAAAATGAACAGACAAAAAGCCCCCAGATAAACAAGTTCTGATTGCTGCTAGTAAAATACACAAAATGCTCTACTTCCTAGAATTATTTGGCTCTTGAGAACAGTTTAAATACAAATTAACTAGACATTTTGTTAATTCAGTACAAGATTAAGTTGATTACCTAGACTGATCCTTTTAAAGAATACAGATGCATCTCATTTGAGGTAATGGATACAAAACAAAATCCTCTCTTGAATATTTGGAAAAGCATATTTATAATGTGAGTGCATGCAACAAAGGTTGATTTTTGACTAAACTGCCATCAGTCATGATTTAGACTGTCTTCTGAAACTGTTAAGCATCTGAAATGCCCTGGCGTCTAGTGACATACGTTTAAACTGTTTATTTCAACAACAGCATTGAAAATCTCTCAGCCCCCAAAATGTATTTACCCTTTTTTAACCTGAAGTGATAGGCAGACTTTTGTAAAAATTCATGTTCTTACTTGAGTGTTTCCTTTTTACCATTGGGAAAAATCTTTGCTTTAACTCTTGTTTGGAATTTTTGCTGCTTGCATTCTGTCTTTTTTTCTGAGCATTTTGATGCTAGATAATATTAGAAATGGTTTCTGCCAACATAACCTTGAAATGTGGAGGTTTGGGCCTATCTTTAATTATGGTGGGTGGACGGGTGAAGAACTTTTGATAGCATTTTTGCAGATGTTACTACTCTTTGCTGTTCATATGATTCTTAACACAAATCTTGCAATTTATATATATATATTTCTTTTTTGATTTGCTTGACTGGAAACACCTTCTCCTGGATGACTTCAGGTGACACTAGTATCTTCTGTAGTCTGCCTTTGGGTTTTTATATAATGAGTAGCATGATAATGTTTATCGGAGCAAAGTACATCTCAGGTTAGTTGAAATAGATCCTTCTAAAAGATTTCTTCACTAGTTAAATGTATTTGTTTTTCATCTGCTCGTTCTTGGCAAGAAAGTTTTCAGCGATCTTTGTTGCCCATGCACATGGAGAAATGTTATGGATTTGAGTTAGACCACCTGTACCTAAGGAAGTACAGAGCAAAAAATAACTGTCTGAAACTCATGCCCTGTTCCATGAACTTTGATGTAGAATTCTACACAAAGTGCATAAAATGTTGTAATATATAGTCCAGAAATGTTTTGTTATTGGAATGATACATCTGATGCAGTATAGAGCATGTTAACAGAGAATCATAACATCTGCAATATGCCACAACTTAAAAATACAAGTTCTAGCCCTCATCCTGGACTTTCATATAAATTATGATGAGTGTGTGGCTTAAAGCTACAAGAGGGCAAATTTTGTTTTTATCAGTTTTTAAGAGATATAGGAAATAACCGTGGAGAATTTGCTACATCTGTAGGACTTTTTATTATACTCTTTCTACACTTTGTGTTCTCTAAGTGCCTACGTGAATTTTCCATTATATCTAACTAGATGTGTCTATTTGTGTGAAGAGGAAACAGCGCAATAGCCCTTTTTAAGGGAAGAGACAGTGTGCATGTGCAGTAAGGATTTATTGTCAGTTTTATCACTTAAAAAAATTGTTACTGTAGACTCACAAAGTTTAAAATAGCAGAAATGCAAAAGAATGTTGTAGTTATACATTGTAAGAATAAATAATTGACATAGAGACCCACATCCCTTGTTTGAGCTTTGGGCTTTAAAAAAAAAATGTTTTCAGCCTGAAGCAGATGCATTTAATCTTAAGCATTGTGCGCTTCTGAAAATTTACTAAACACTAATAAATTTCTAATAACTCTAGACCATTGTTCTGGTGGTTAGAAATGTTTCTGTTTCTGTTCATTCAGTCTCTACTCTTTCTGTTCAATTCTGCTTATCCTTGCATAGTGCTTAAAGACTGCATGTGCCTGAACTTACAGAAAGCTTTGGTAAAAAGTGCTTAGAATGAATTACTTACTTACTAACTCTGTAACATAGCTGGAAGTGAAAATGATGACTTCTGCACATTCCCCCCTGAGGAAGCAATAGCTTAAAATCACCATGTCTAAGGTGAATTAAGGGTGTGCACATATAGACCCGCACCCTTAATGCACCTTAAAAATGACTAGTGCACCTTAAATCGGCACATGTAGATGCTCTTATAAATAACTATTATGTGAAAGTGGGCAAAGCTTTAGCAGGTCAAATGAGGAAATTTGAATTACGGTACCAATCCTTGACCACATGTGGGGAAGCCTATAGCAATATGAAAATTTAAATAATCAAAAGCCAAAATGGGGAAAGCATTGACCTCTTTATTTGATAATTCTGGTTTACTCTAAGTAAAAAAACAGTGCATCTGTTAACCTAAGTGCATATCTGAGCTTCTGCACAAAATCAAATCCATCCACTCTCATTAAGACTTGTCAGCTCTCTTCTGACCTCTACAGGGAAAAATGTGTGCGGAGAATAGTCTGAATCACTCCAGCTTTCAGACAAACCTAGGAACCTTACTATTAAGAGAAGTGAAGGAAAGTATATATCGGTACTTTTTAGTGTATTTAATATGTTCCCACCATTTGCTTAAGAGGAAAAAAATCAAAAACTTCAACCAGTTATCAAAATGAGAAGGTAAAGAAGGAATTAATTGAGAAGGACTTTCCTTTTATAGCATACATACCTTAAAACCAGGCCAGTTGGCCAAATTCTACACAAAAACAGTAGCAGAGAAATCCCATTGACTCATGGTTTTTTGATGACTTCTTTGGAGCTGCAGTGTCAATTAAAAGATAATTTGGCTAGCTGAATTCAGTCCTGAATTATTCTGCCATCCTATATACACTAATCCCTGTACAGCAACAAAGCAATTGTTAACTATGTAATATTAGTTTTTCTCCATAGTGTTACAGTATGACAAGCACTAGTACAGCAATACTTAATAAGGAAGCTGCCATAGCAATAGTTTTGTTCATTGCTGCAGCTTGCTTTACCAAAAGTTGAATAGAAATGACTAGCTTATTTCTAGTGAAGAGCCTCTGATGGAGCATGACTGTTACTCTGGGGAGAGAAAACCCTGATGGTTATATCTAACAAACAGTTATGATTTTTTTTCCCCTCCCAAAATATATATATGAAGCATGCAGAGATCCATGTGTTACGATCTCATAAGACATTGTTCAAGCTTAAGCGGGTTTGGGACTGGTCACCTGATGGGGAAAACCTGAAGCAAAAATTCTGTTTGGAGATGAACTGAGTTTTTCCTTCAGTGACTCTTTTTTTTTTTTTTTTTTTTTGGTG